TTTCAATTAAAGTAATATTTTTATTTAATATACTATAGAAAATTCAACAACATTGAGTAGTACTGAACGAGAAGAACTACTTAATCAAATTGATTTTTCACGTGTAAATGAAGAAACAATTGCTGCATGCAAAAATAATAAACTTATTCCACAACAATTAATTACTGAAGCTGCTTTGGCTCTTTGTGCTAAATTAAGAAAACAACTGGATGAAACTCGAACTCGTTTATGTTCAATTGAAAATGAATTATCCAAATCTCGACCGACATATACTAGTCCAAGTATGATTTATAACTTGTTAATAATATATAATCCATTCGTGTATGATATTTAGGTTATCGAACACGTTTTTATGACTCATCATTAGGTATTCCAACTCGTTTTCGTACTAAATATATAAATAATTATGATTTACCATTAAGCAGTTCGACTTATAGTTACTCAAAATATGACAATGATAGTGATTTTGATAGTATTTTACCATCAAGATATCTCTCAGCATCTTTACGTAGTCGATACGGTAGTTATTCTACTTATCGTCATTAAAAACAAACAAATTTCTTTTTCTTGTTTGTGTGCTTTTGTGTGTGTATAGATTGATTAGACTAATGAATACATAGGTTTTATCTAACATTTCTTTATTCTATATTTTTGTTTTAAATGATATTAATATATTTTTATGCGATTTTTCTTTCAATGATTATTTCTATCCTAGTTTGATCTTTTTTGTTTTCTATGTCATGGTGATAAAATTCGTGCATATTCAAAGAAGTTGACAACTTATTGTAATAATTGCAACGATGATAACAACTCATATAAAAATAATAGTTATATTGAACGATCAAAAGTACATAAAAATATTGTTAAAAATTTTACGATATAACGAATAAAGATGTAAACATTTTCGTTAATCTACTTAAAAATGCGTGAAAATATATTAAATTTGTTAGTTGTTATATATATACATATGATATTGTTTACGATTTTCCTAGACTTTCATCAATCACTTTCATAAATTATAGTCACTAATCATCAGTATTTTGTTAAGTTTTCTTCAGTTGACAAGAAAATCTCACTAACGAGGGAAGGTTCCCAAGTGTGAATCACCATTTAGAATGGGAGATATTCCAGTTTGCAGAGCTCGACGAGCTGATTCTCGTGGTATGGTTCGTTTTTCCGATAGAACTTCAAATGAGAAAAACTGATCGATTTTGCTAGTGAATTTCTACAGTTTGCATAAGTTTCGAGGCAGTTGTTAGAAATTTAGAATTTCAAAGGTACTTAATTTTTATATGATCATGTTATAGAATAGAGAATGCCGCATGCGATGATCTATTTTTATATTATTTTCAAAGAATCTGGGAACAATATTTCCTTGTAAAACTTATTTTCACCATTGCTATGAATTTTAATTGTTGAATTGTTACACTTGGAGGTATTTGAGCATTCCCGAGAGAAAATGTTGTTATATATTCAGAAGATGACGCTGAACTTACTCTTAAAATAATAGAAACATAGATCATCGCATGCGGCATTCTCTATTCTATAACAGGACCATATAAAAATTAAGTACTTTTGAAGTTCTATCGGGGAAAACGAACCCTACCACGAGAAACAGCTCGTCGAGCTCTACAAACTAGGATATCTCCCATTCCAAACGGTGATTCACATTTGAGGACCTTCCCTCGTAAATTTATTTAAAATTCCATATCATATCCAGTCAAATATATAAGCGAACATAACTCTACCAAAGCGTTGCTTTTCTTAATTTAAAATAAATATTTTATTTATAATATAATATTTGAGAAGCTATCATAATACTTTTTGACTGTTTTGAATCCGAATATATGCTACAAATCATGTTGATAGTGTATAAAATACAGCCTTACGATAGCTTACGAACTAATAAGTTTTCAACAAAATAAACAAAGTTTCATATACAATGATTATTCTTATTATAAATAAAAAACAACTTTCTGATAGTGTCATGTTATTTTATGTATCTGACTGAATATAATACTGAAATTCAACTATTTCGGTAAGGTTTTCTTATCAAATAAAGAAAATTAAAAAAAGGTAACGATCAATAACAACTTCGAGAAATTTTGTCATTATTTAAAAGTACTAAAATATTGATAGAAACAGCCTAATGAAATATGTTTCATTGAAATATCGGTAGTACATTCTTATCGACGAAAAACTATTGAAAAAAAGTATAAAAGCTCAAAACTTGATTTCGTTTTCAACATTCAGTGCAATAAAATTTTTAATCTATACTCAAAACGAAAGTTTCTAATTATCATCATTAGTTAATAAATGTTTGGTCGGGTGCACATACTTGATAATTTTCTTATCATGCATAAATTTTTCAAATGGTGTTAAATTATTTTACCTTTGACAAACTCGATTCTCATCAAATTTTTACAATATAGATAGTACTTCGTATATTCACAATCAGTAGTTTGTGTATGTTGACACTGAGCATAAATTTCATGGGGTTTCATCTTCATATATTCATGTAACTGAAGATGTAAGTATGAATGAAAGGAAGACTTATATTCATTCCCAACCCGTACAATCAAATATAAAATTTATATGATTATTAATCATTATGTAATGCATATGAAGTGACTACTTCATTAAAACTTGAACATACATATAAATTTAATACAAATGCTTTTACATCATTTCTACATCAGATTAATCCACTAAATAAACAAACATATTCGAAAAAACTTGAAGCAATATGTGGTGTAATACTGGTTGCATTTCTTTAAATTTTTGTTCTCTTATTTGTATACAGATGATAAACATAAATAAAATAAAGTTCTAAATTAGGAAAGGAAATTTTTGTTCACATAATAATGAAATTTAGTCGATTAGATTCAATCGTTCAGTTGTGTAAGGGAAAAGAATACAATCTTCTCTGATCAATCAATATGTTATATACTTCGCTCGAAGGTGAACAAATAACTAAAGAAAAAGAGTAATATTTCTTGTGTGAATAGTGATACAATTTGCTAAGAAAGATGTAAGACCATATTCATCAAGAGAAAATGTTAGTAAATGCAAACTTAATCTGATAGTTTATTAATAAGTACATCATCATTCATAATTGTGGTCTTGTTTGTCTACATTATCTTTACGTCACTATGATTAGTTAATGTAATGGCTAGTAGATCTCTTGGCAACGATTTCGATTTTTGTTATTTAAATTTCCTAATATAAAAGCTTCATGACTAGATTTGAAAAGTATTTGATGTTCGCAAACGAAAGAAAGATTCAAATTCACACCCGCATCCTTAAAGTGGATTATACTGATCATGTGGATGATGAATTATTTGTTTTTGTACTAGTTACTGTTGTGTTTCTGCGTTTCAACAACAGATGATGATATGATTAGAAAGTATGTCAAGAAAATAGTGCTGTAAACTGTCTTAAATCATATCAGATGGTGAAATCTGGCGTTATTATGTCACCGTCGTAACTATGAAAATGATCATAACAGGTTGTTGATTACATGATAAAACATGAACTTGATACTATCTATTTGTAATGGAAATGAATATAAAGAGAGTTACATCTATTTTTGTATAGAATTTTTTATTAAATAAAAGAAAACGTTTAAATCATACAAAAAAAATACATCTTGAAATTAATATCATATTTATTAAAGTTGAATAATAGGATTATTCAATAGAGTTTTGAACAAAATTTCTCCGTTTGAAAAAATCCAATTCGTTTGACTTAACTATGTCGAAAAAAATAAAATAATTCTCAATTAGACAATAGCCTGCACTCACATTCACAGACTCATATCCTTCATTGTAGCATATTATCGTTTATATAAGATGAACATATCTGACTTATTCATGCATACTTCACTGCTTACCTCTTGCCACTACATATTCTACGGCATCACAAACATTTCTTAATATCTAAACGAGAGAAGAGAATATTTTTTTTAATCTGTATCTACAAATTGGTCATATGATTATTGAAAATGTTCTGAAAATAAACAACTCATCAAAACAATCAAAAGTATTCTGATTCACACACGAAAACTCTGCGAACTATACTTTTATTGTTTTCTGATTATGTACTCGTGGTCTTCTGTTAGGGCATCAAGTTTTGTTTAGACAAAAATTGAAATTTTGTATGCAACGCATCACAAAAATAAAATATCTAGCTTCACATTGTGTTTTATTGATGAATTTATTCTGAAACACAAATCGAACTTGATTGAATACCTAAAATTAAAAGTCAAGGAGTTTATTATTAAAACACAATCACATATTGAAGTTTCCTTTTTCATCCATTTATCTTTTAGTTTATACAGTGCACTAGATGAATACAAAGAAGTATGAATAAAATTAATTTCGTCATGCAATTAAGGTTGAAAGAAAATCTACGAATATCAACTTAAATGTGTAGAAAATCAAAATTATTCTTTTCATGTATTTAATTATGAGTAGTGCATACAATAGAGAATTAATTAACAAACATGCTATTATATGTGTTTGATAGCTTTTCCTTGGAATCAAGATTAAATAGAAATTATCAATATGATTTCCCTCTTTGTTTCGAGTTTGATAATTATCTATGTCCAATAAAATATTCTAAATGACGAATATCATTTTAATAAGAATAAAACACCAAGAGATTAGCATTCCTTTTTTTTCACATTCGTTAATCACTTTACATAAAAAAAAACGAATTAAATACTGATTAAAATATCTAATAAATGCGCAATACTAGGCAAGAACCATTTCAATAGACGCTCTCGTCCTTCAACCAGAACAAACGTGCTTTATAATTGTTGATATTTATTTTCACCAAGTTTTTCTGTTCTATTATTTCTATTCAAGTCCAGATTACATGACAATATCGATGTAACAGAAAAAAAAAGAATGAACATATAATCGTATTCGGAATTAGTATGGAACATGTGTGTTTTATAATACAAGAAAAAAAAAAGAAAACAAAAACTAATTTGAAAATCATCTTCGATTTCGTCGTTTTCTTTCAAGAATTTGTCGAGCATCAGTAACAGATGTTAACTCATTATCATCATCACTAAAATAACAATAATCAAATAAAAATAATAATTTATATAAAATAGATTCGTACTCTTTATTTGATTTCGATGATTCATTGATTTTATTTCTTGAATATTTTGTATGTTTAGATGCTGGATCAATAGTTACTGTAAAATGAGGTTTTTCTTTATGTTGTCGATCATCATCATCATTATTATTACTCCATGATCGTCGTCGTTGTCGTTTTGATTTGTGTCCTCCTTCCTCATCATCATCATCATCTTCTTCTTCACTTGGTGAACTCTTTTTCGGTGGAAGAACCACAGTAAATTTAACGTTTGTATCCGTTCCATTATCCTCCGATGTTGTTGTTGTTGTTGTTGATATTTCTTCCACAATACTATTCGATGTTGATGTTGGATCATTCGATTTGACAACAGTAAAATCTCGAAAACGATTTGATTTCATTGCATTTAATGCACGTTTTTTTGAACGAGATATAAGACCAGTCATGTTACTAAAAATCAAGAAGACATCAATATAAATAATATAAATATATTTTTTTCTTTTACTTATAATTTGGATTACCATATTGTCGATAATATTCAGATTGATTTTCAGCACCACGCGTTTTTCGATCATTAAGTGTTGTATATCGAAGATATAATTTAATTGATGATTCTGGTTTATTAGCTAATGAAAAGTTTCCTTCACGCCAATGACCTGGCGGAAGAGCAACATCAGTAGAATCACTTTTACTATTTGTAGACGTTAATGATGATGATTTTCGTTTGGATAATCGCATAGCATGATCATAATTTACTGGACGTCGATGAGATATACATGGGCCGGGTGTTGATTTTGTTGCAAGAAGATGAATTGGAGTTAAACTATCATGCCAAAAGACATTACATGAATGATCACAAATCCATTCAATACCAATAGGTTGAAAGTCTTCAAAACAATTCAAAATTTCTTGTGTACTCATATTATTTACACCGCGAACATAAAGAGATTCAGGACGTGATGTACCAGTTGATGACGATGCTGCACGAAAATCTTCTTTAGTTAAATTTAAACTAAAAAAAGATAATAATAAAAGATATTTAAAAATAGAAAACAAGTATATATATATATATGTTAAGATCAAAATTGAAATTTGACTAGAAGTAAATTGATCAAGTTGCAGACAGTTAGAATTTTAAGAAATAAAGAATTATTTTTTCATTTCATCAAGTATCATTGATATCAAAAAGCAGTATAAACTAGTTTGTCAATATGAAAAATTAGAACACATTTTTTGTTGTTAAATATTTACTTAATTCGAAATCAGCTTGTACAGAAGATTTCAGATCAGACATCATAGATTATGTACGAAAAATTACAATGCTTGAAGCATGTAAAGTTTATATTTATAGATCGACAAGCGATTGTAATAGGAAATTCTCCATCAAACAATGTTCATGTAAAAGAAACAGAAAGTTTTGCTTTTTATTCGATTACAGATTATGTTAAACTATGATTGTGTACCAATAAGTGCTATTAAGTTAAATTAATATGAACTGAAACTTGTTTGATAAAAACTATACTTAGTAAAATGCAAAAAAGACTCTTTACTCCTAGACCTATTCGAATTTTCGCTTAAATATTTCTTTACCTTTGCCAAACATCTTTTATTTCCTCTTCTGTTAATTTGATTGACTCTAATTGCTCTGCAGTTGGTAATTCATAATATTTGTCATCCTAATTAAAATAATAAATATTTATTTCAATAAATTCTTTCGTACTTACTACTGAAATTGTTTCTACATGATGACTATTAGGTCCATCTCGAATATATACTTTGAGTTTCTATAATAAACAAATAAATAAATAATTTGAACATTTTTTTCTTTGAAAAAAAAATGTAATAGATAATATATCTTTTTCTTTTCGATAATAGAACAAACCTCGATAACAAGTAATGACGGTATTTTCTCTTCTTCTTTTTCTGTTTTATTATTGTCGTTATTTTCTTCTGGTGTTTCTTGATGAGCATCATTTGTAGTTGTATTTATTAATTGTTCTTCTACTTGTAAATTTGTTTCATCAGTATCCATCAATTGTATCTCTTCTTCATCGTCATATGGTGCTAATTGTGAAGCAACGGCGATATCCAGTGACATTTTTTTTTTGTTTTCTTATTATTTATCTGGAATAAATAAACAAAAAAAACAAAAATTTACCATTTTAAATTAAAAGAATTTGAAATATTTTTTTCAATCGGTCGATATGATGTAAACAATGGAATATGATTTTCTTCGTTCATTCTCAAATTTAACGGTTGATTAAGATGAGGTAATGTTTCATACATATGTCGAACATCATCAAGATTAACATCAGTACTACGTATTTGTCCACCACCGTTAACACAACCCGAAGGACATGCCATGATTTCAACAAAATCATAATCACATTTATTTCGTTTAAGTTTTTGAACTATATTTTGAATATTTCGAAAACCATAAGCATAAGCAAAACGAAGTTGAACTTGTCCATCGATGGTTAAAATAGTTTCACAAAAATCTTGATTTCTTTAATGAAAAAAAATAATAAATTTGTTCGATATAGCAAATCGAATATTCATACTTAGTAACTTTAAATTCTAATGGTCCATCATCTATATCAACATTGAATAATTCTTTAGCAGCAGAACGAAATATGTAATCAAGATAACCACCTGACCCACTACCACGATGTGTCAGAATCATTTGACCATTTTCATCCTTCATACAATATCTATCAATAGTGTATTATTAAGAAGTTGAAGAATAAATTAATTTCAACATACGGCTCGTCATAATCAAAATTAGAATTTGATTGAGAATCAAACTGTTCTTCAGTAAGCCATTTATCAAATTCACCTAAAATCGAAATTTTATCAATCATATTTGAGATAAAAGTCCTAATTTCTTTTTTTATTTTAAACATTCAGTTCAAAATAATGAAACAGTTTATCTATTTAGTTAATACTAAACTTAAAATTCAAAGTTTTTTGGTTTGACATATTACTCATTATGGAATAGATTTTTTTCATAGATATCGTGAAAATACTTAAATAACTCTTTAGAAATTTTAAATAACATACCAGTTGATATAACACAATCAACATCATATTGTTGTCGTTGTTCATCATAAAAATCCTGTCTTGATGCTTCAAGTTTTTTATCATAACATGGTTGAATTGACATATGATAAATATTTTTATTTTTATCTTTTTTTATAAGTGAACCAAGAATTTGTTGTGGAGATTTTACTTGACTTATATATGGAATGATATATTCTCCTTGAGTTTTTTCAGCATAACAAATCCAACCTGGACATTCGGAAGTAAGTAATGGTAAATTTTGACGATTATTTCGAAATCTTTTCATAAATTCATGTTTCATTTCAATTAAAGCATAATTTCGTGCATATGATATATCATAAACATAATCAATTCTTAATCTATATTAGAAAATTAATAAGAAAAATATTTAATTAAAATTTATTTATATACTTTGTTTTTAAAAATGATGTTATTCGTCGTGCACATGTTAATCCATCGAGTTTATATTTAACAGCAAGTGATGAAAGACTTTGTGGAGAAATTGAAATAACAGTTATTTTTCGATTTGGATCCTAAATTAAAATAATATTGATTCGATATGAAATAAAATTCGTCATACATTTTGATCAAGTGATTGATTGAGTTGAAGTACACGTTGTGCTTCACGATAATCTTGTTGATCAATTAGAATACTTTCAGCCGATGTAATACATCCACTACATGCTAAACAATCATTCAATGTTATTTTAGCGATTTTTGGTGTTGATTCTTCTTCAGTTTTCTATAAAGTATCCAAAAAACAAAAAAAAAACCAGTATTTCATAAAAATAAAAATAAAAAGTTATACATTAGTTTTTTTCGTACGTAATTTAATAAGACCATCATCGGTATTATCGGCAAGTTTTGTTTGCATAGGTATTATACATTGCTAAAATGAACATAAAATAAAAGAATAAAAAAAATAAAAAGAACAGAAATACTTGAGATGGTCCAATAAAATCATCTAAATCAGTTAGTTGAAGAGCGCCGGAAAAGTTTTTCGTTAGCATTATTGAATAATAATAATTTTTAGTAAAATACGAACTTAATTCTCGTATTTAGCAAGAACAAGTAACTTCACATTCATTCGTTCATTACTGACAACGAATAATAGTATCGATTATAGATGACGTACCTAGCGTGGAGTTTCTTATATGTGTGAATCGTCAAAAGTCGAGAAAAGAGGTCATTTGCAATAGATACTACCTATATTAACTTGTACAAAATGATGAATTTTTTTTAAAATCGACAAAATCTTTGCCCATATGTCCAATCTGATTTCTGATCCTATCTAAAGAACGTCACTTATAGAAGAATACCTACTGTGAGCAAATTGTATTACTCATTTTTCAACAAATACTGTAAATTTATGTTCTAAAAATTAGACTATGAAGAATAACGTCCTTTATTACTCTTAGAGAAAATACGAAAAATCCTTAGTATATGAACTCCTGTAAGTCAAACATTTTCTGCAGCGATACATGTTTCAAAAATTATTTTTTTTTGATTTCATCGAATGTTTTTTCTTCGGCATTCACTCGTAACCCTAATTGACTTGTTATTGTCAAGCAGATAAAAATCATGCCACTATGCAACGGTCGTCGCTACCATTTTCTCTCTTGCTATTCAGGTAAGAGTTCAAGTTATTATTTCCACAAATAAAATCAACTTGTATTTCCTATTCCACAAATTTTATATAACAGGATGGTCACGTCTACTACTGAGGATGTGCGTGCTAGTGTTGATCGTCTCATCACAAGAGAAGGTCCACACCCTCAAGTTATTTGTTTTTCATGCTTTCGGTGTAGTTTTGATATTAGGTGTTTTTTTCAGTGAATATAAATTAAAATACAGATAAATTGGATTTCATAAAGTTCAATTTGGGCTAAAAAAACTCATTTTTCTAAAAAGAAGTAAACATTAAAGAAAAATATCCAGAATTATTGCTATATGAACAATTGTAATAAATCAAGATGAATACAAAATCTTTCATCTGAAATCATATTGATAAACAGATTAAGTAGAAAAGTATATTCCTTTACATCTTGATTTATCATACGTTCGGAGTTATAGAAATGACACATTGTCTCACATGTACAATTGAGTCGATAAAAAATAAAGAGAAACATGTTGCATAATATGTTCGTATATATATATATACGGCTCAGAAAGGACTATACAAAGAGAAACAAAATTTCATTTCCAATCATATCTATGTACAGTGGAAAGATATGAAATCATTTGTATATTCCATGTATAAACATTCAATTAGGTAAACAAAGAATCTATCGTCTGCAACTAAATCGGCCACAGTTGAAACAAAATCATTACAATCTATAATATTTTAAAACTAAACTGAAATAGTTGAATGTAAGATTTACGTAAAATCATTTCTTTTACATATCGTATACATTATAATGTTTTTGTAGTGCATATCTGTAAGTTGATTACAAGCATTATTCGTGATCTTTAACAAAAACATTTTAATTCTTGAAGAAAAATTTCATGAGACTATCACTGAATTCTGGTGACATAGAGTGGGATTCATCAAGTTATGGTAATAATGATTACTCAATTGAGTTTTATGTTATGTCACCAAATGTGTTCCAAAAAGTGTGTGAGAATGTGTGATTCCAGAGCAATTTCATTTTCTTTATCATTAGTAAGTCTGAAAACATTTTCGGGAGATTGATAACTGCTACAGATACCACTAATCTGGACGATGCCCATAAAAACGTTAATGAAGCACAAGATACTCAGCAACATATGACAAGTTAACTAATATTTATGACTTTGTCTCTATCAGTCGTAATGACAGGTTGATTAAAGTATTTTCTTCGAAGTGCTCACATTCTTCATCCAACAACAGTTTTTCTATGATAAAATACAACTGTCAAATACATCACGACAAAAAAAATGAGAACTTCTCTATTGAATTCAGTCAATATACGTAGTTTCACATTTAGTAGAGATTGTCGTGCAACTATAATTAGTCATATCAAGCTTACCTAGACACCGTACAAAATAAATAATGCATCATATAGTGATGAAAATTTCTCCGATATTCCATACTTATCTAGTTGATACAGGCTTGTTTGTTATTTATCACGCATACAAAACTGGTACTAACAACTTCTGTAGTCTTGTCGAACCTGATACTATTGAAGTCTGTACATTTCTTTGTCCAAATGTTTATCTTGTCAAAAATCGAGGATAGAATGTCGCCCATTTATATTGGGTTACTGGAAAAAACCTTTTAAAAGAGAAAAGTCAAGATGGCAAATACGAACTCAACAGCACATATGGATTAGATTGTGTTTAAATATATTAAAAAAATGCAAACATATTCACCTAAGTCGAATGGATGTGTAGTGCCGACTGAAAATGAATGAATGAAAGAATACATAAGCCAAGAAATCATATTAACGTAAGTTTGTTTAAAACTAAATCTGTTGTTCAATACTAGAGTGGTCTTTGTTTATTAAAGTAGAGCCGCCATCTTTCATTAATGAGCCTTATGTTATAAACAAAAGTATCATCATTCAACAGCTGTTATCAGCTTTATCAATCGCTATTCCATGTATACATTCAGCATTTCCCAGGGGAAGAATGTGAGAATTGTACAATATACACTTGTGTACATAAAGAGAAGAGTGCACAACAAGAAAATACATTGGGGTATACAGAAATGGGAAGATAACGTTATAAGAATGTAGAAGATGTGATAGATTATTGAAGTGTACAGAAAATGAAGAATAGTAGTTTTTTAATTGTTTCATAGACAATTTACTATCAGCGGAGCCTCTTCATGGTAAACATATACTTCGCAATTGATAAATTGGCTTATTTATTCATTATTTGATTTAAATATACAAGAAAAGCAAAACGTATTTTTTGAACTTCTTATCAACTTTCGTCACTGTTTATGAGCTTCTGAACTATCTAGCAAATTACATGATTGAAGAAAGGTCTCCATTCATCAATACAGTAAACATCACCATTCTCTTCGACTAAGAATTCAATTCATTCATTTCTTTT